CCTTCCCCTTGGCTCCTTTATATACGGAGGCAGGGGGCACCTCTAGACACACAAGTTGATCATTGAGATCGTTCCTTAGCCGTGTGCGGTGCCTCCTGCCACCATATTCCACCTCGATCATATCGTTGTAGTGCTTAGGCGAAGCCCTGTGTCGGTAGAACATCAAGATCGTCACCACGCCGTCGTGCTGACGGAACTCTTCCCCGACGCTTTGCTGGATCGGAGCCCGGGGATCGTCATCGACCTGTACGTATGCTAAGAACTCGGAGGTGCCGGAGTAACGGTGCTTGGATCGGTCGGATCCGGAAGACGTACGACTACTTCCTCTACGTTGTGTCAACGCTTCCACAGTCGGTCTGCGTGGGTACGTAGACAATACTCTCCCCTCTCGTTGCTGTGCATCACCATGATCTTGCGTGTGCGTAGGAATTTTTTTTGAAATTACTACATTCGCCAACAATGGGGTGTTTACATAGACATATCACTCACGTACAGTGGCGGAGCCAGCTCAAGTTTAGAGCCTGGGCAAGATTGACGTGCGGCCATGTTAACAATGTTTTGCCCAAGCAAACTCTTCACCAATCTAATTTTCTCTACTACAGTTCCATGGACATGCAGCATGGGAGCCCGGGCAGCTGCCCCAGCTCGCCGGGTGCTGGCTCCGCCACTGCTCACGTACGCATCCATCTCCACTCCTGGTGAGACCACCAGGGGTGGGACAACTACGCCATGGTCACTACTATACACGTGTCTCTAAGTGTTTAAAGAGGGAAGGAAAAAGCACAGCACGGCTCAGCTAAGTGTGCCACAATATGAAAGCAGGGCAGCTCTACGCGTACCCTTAACTCTATGTTGCAGAAGTCCCAAGTCCTCTTTGAAGCGATGGAACCAAGATGCAATGCTTGGGGTTACTCCTCTGAAGTGTTTATTATTTCTTTCCTTCCACAAACTCCAGGCAGCAGTGAAGAATGCTTCGATGAAGAAAGGATTGGGCCAAGTGGGTTGTGCGGTTTGCAACGCAACAAACCTATTATGAAAGTCAGTCCAATGAACATCTATCTTAGCCCAACACCTTTCGTTGAACAAAGGAGGCTTATGTTGCTACAGTATTACAATCGACCCCTTTTAATATCCAATTCAGGCAGTCTCTGGTGGGGTACGTTGGCACTCGTGGCTACACTTGGTCCGTAGCTTGATGGATGTTCAAGTTACCGACCAGCCAAATATTTTTCACTGGAAGTTAACTGCGATTCTAAGAATGGTAGTTTCTCAGTGAAATCTATGTATTTAGACCTTATCGACTCTAGGCCTATTCCGAGATCACTTCATATCTGAAAGATTAAAGTTCTGTTTCAAATTAAAATTTATATGTGGTTTTTCCATAAGGAAGTGATCTTAACTAAGGATGATTTGGTAAAGTGTAGACAGGTAGGCAGTACTCAATGTTGTTTTTGTGATCAGGACGAGACTATAAATACCTCTTTCTCGATTGTCCGTTAACCAAACTCCTCTGGCGTACTTTGTATATAGCCCTTAATGTTAATCCTCCACCCAGTATCAACACATTACTTGGGACATGACTAAATGGAGTCGAATCAAACTTAGCTCGACATATTCAGATAGGGATATGTGCAATACTTTGGGCTCTTTGGAACTGCGGAAATGATATGATTTTTAACTGAAATTGTTTACCAACTTTTTGCATGTTATTTACAGAGCCACTACTTGGAAATGTGTGTTTGCTACTCACTTATGCGGACTCCAGGGAGCTTTTGGTTACTGGGAGCAACAGGTGGGAGATGGTAGCGTGGGCTATCTTCAACCGATTTGGATGACGGACTACTAATAGGCTAGGTGTTTAAGTCACCGTAGCATGTTCTTTTCTCGCCGGTTGTGGCGGCTTTTATTTAATTATCTTGGGCTCCTTTTGACCTCGTACTTTGTTGGACTTCTTTTACTTAATAAAATGGTTGCATGCATTATTCTGATGCAGAGACCAGGGTTATCCTCTTTTCCAAAAATATCGCCACCACCACCATGGTGAGCATTCCTTGCTTGTTGCCCACAATCACTGTCGATCAGTCACTGCAAGTATAAGAACACACACACACTCGCCCACATTTGTTTCTGACAAACACCGTGACTGGGCTAAACTGTTCATTCAGTATACAAAATTATTTGCAACACAGATAATATCTGTTTATTACACTATTTTCACAGGCAAACATCGCCTGGTTTTGATATTGGAACATATTGAGATAACTGAAAGTTAGCAATAGAAATAAAGGAAGCATGATCACACACACACAAAGCTACCTTCATTAGGAACTTAGATGATTAATTAGGAAAAAAAAGAGTAACAAACATCAAACAAGTCGAAATTTATACAGAGAAGAAAACACACAGAATTTGCTACCCCCTTGATTAAGGACCTGAACAGTGCAGTAGTGATCAACATGCAAAGAAAAAAATGCTTCATGCGCGGCTGCCAAGATTGCACCTTCTTCTTCACACTGTCCATCGGCTCAGCACCCACAACCAGCAGGTAGCCTTTTCCTTGTTTGTCTTTCTTTATCTTGGTTTCTTCAGTGGCTGAAAGTAAATGAGAAATAAAAGTCATCACAAATATGTCACTCTCCTGTTGGCAGTAAACAGGCAACACATCTGGGGTGTCAAGAACATATTTGAGTATAATGGAATGTACTCCCTCCGTCCCATAATGTAAGACATTTTTTGATTACATTATGGGACGGAGGGAGTATTAGATAAAAGGGTAGATGCTACACTTGGTAATTGAGGAAAATGAAAACACTAAATACGGTTAAGTTTATTACTAAGCAACATGACATGCTAAGTAATAATTATCATTTGAAAAGCAAAAGGCGCGTTCATCCAACAGTTGGTCATCATTGAGACAGTTAGAATTTTTGATCGACCCATCTATCATAAAGTAGGAATATTCTTTGGCTGCAAAAAAGGTGAAATAAAAGAAAGTGGAATGAAGCAATTGAGTAACATAACTATAAATAAAGGCGTGTCAAGATTAAAAAATTACTGAGTAAAGAGGTTTGCAGTTGTGAATCATAGAGCACACAACTATTATTACCTTGTTTCCAAATAAGGAAGTACTGTAGTCATTGTTTTCTAGAATTCAGTTTAAGTGGTTGTGGAGTGGATAACTTGTTTTGATGGCATTTGCCTTGTTTCATGAACATGTGCTGCTGTAGTGAATTTTGGCATCCATTTTTGCACTCTGTTGCCTTGTCTCTCGGTAGACATTCCGCTTCGTTATCTTCTAGGAGTTTAACCATCATAGGATCTGACCCTAGCGTTCCAATTTCTTTTATGCAATGACTAAACCGTGTGGAGTACGAATCGAGGCAATTCAGCTCATTTTTTATACAATCTTGGAGAATTTTTGATACATACAGTACTTCAAATAGATTAGTTTGCAGGTGTTGGTATTTCGCTGAGAATCGATTAAATGAACCAAATGAAGAACGATCGTAGATGTTCTTTCCTTACTTTGCTTTTGTTGGTTTTGTTCCCACGGATGCTAGGAAAATCTCCTGATACATGTTGTACCTTCTTCAATACAAGACCAATAAAATTTCCCATCATCTAAAAGACATAAATAAAAGCCTTGACTTTACATACTAGTCAATGTATTGGTCGAGATGAAAATAGATAAAGAAGACAGAGTTACGAATAGCAACAGACATGTACTTTCACCAACGAACTGTTTCGAAAATTTAGATGGATAGTTAAGGTTTCACTTGCAACAACTTAAACAGATTGTTTTTTAGAAAGGAATGTAGACGACATTCTTAATCCAACAAGCTCATCAACATCATTGCTTAGTTCTAATCTCAATACCCCACACAATAAGACCAGTCTTCCAAACTCCTCCTTCGGTTTCCTTTAGGCACACAGACACATCGCTGTCACAGCTTTCACCGTTGTAGAACTCGCCTAGCTCGACCTCCATCCAGCCATCAACCCTTTTTCGAGGGAGCATAACATCATCTGTGAGAGGAATTGCATCACAACTTGTATGAGGCATATAGTCTTCCCAACTACACCTCAAGATATGTTTGCGAGGTACCCCGTCATCCCCGTCCTCCATATAGGCTTGGAGGCAAACTTGGCGTGTTGAGTCATCATTCCCTCCAACAGTGATTGATGCCTCTTGAAACGGGAAATCGAGCTTGATGAACTCATCGGCTAGCTTGAACACCATGTAAGCAGCATACTTGGAGTTTGGGCTGAGCATTGTGCTATGTATTTCGCCACGGATTAACAGCCACCAAACTCCCTGAAGTTGAGCTGCTTCACGGAAGCTGTTACAAATGCAAGAGTATGGGTATGGTTAGTACCATGGTTTTCAATTTTAGTTTGAGAAAAAATTCAGCACCAACCGAAATTCAGTGAATTTCAGTTTGCATTTCAGCCAAATGACCGAAATATTCACTTGAATTCAATGAACAAATATAAAAATTTTAAAAATATTTTGAAAAATATTTGAATTCTTGTGCAGTACTGAAATTGCTGAAATATTTGGACGAAACATAATTATTTCAGTGTCTACTGAAATTACTAGAATTCAGTGAATTTCATCGAAATCTCACTCAAAGTGGAAACCAAGGTTGGTACTGACACTACATGGAACGAATAGCATCAGACCAGAGACGATAGGAACTAAATTAATAGGGCCAATTACTACGAACCTGTTGTTTGCTTGGATCTCATCAGAACGGAGCTTGATCCATTCCCAGTAATCTATTGTCTCGCCCCACGAAATATGCAGCGACCTCGCCGAGAGCATGTAGCACTTGGTGCCAGTAGCCCGGTCCAGCCGCATGCTCTGCACATAAGAACGGCGGATCGATGGATTAGCCGATTTTCATAAGCAGTACTGGTTGGGTTGGGGACTTGGGGTGATATACATGGGATCTGTACTACGTACGTACCACGAGCTTGCCTGGGAGGAGCGCCGGTTGGTCGGAGAGGCATCGGAACAAGCCCTTCTTGGACGGCGGCGCGTGGGGGAGCACACCTTCAGCGAACCGTGGGAGGTCGCGGGGCAGGAAGCAGGACCAAACGGCGTCGGAGTCCGCCGCGGCGAGGAAGGAGCGGGAGACGGCGGCACAGCGTCCGGCGTCCGGCGGCGACGTGCGGGAGATGATCGACGCGAGGAGCTCCTCCGGCAGGCGCGAGATCTCGTTGCCGTCTGCTTCCATGATGGGATGAATCTGCGAATTGCTTCCTGTTGGATGGAACGGCGTGTTATTTCAGGTCTCTTTTGGTTCATAGGATAGGATCTCTACTATTAAAGGAGAATCGAACCTCGTGATGGTTCGACCTCCTTCTACCCCCTCCTCTGGCTATCGATACATCCTCTCACCCACATCCTTCCATCGATTTTTTTCAATCCCTTCGAAAACCGGAGGCAAGTAACCCGGTTCAATCAACTCTTCCTCCCCACGTCGTACAGTTCCGCATAACTGGAAAATCCACGCACAAAATAAATCGCCTGAAAAAGCCCACGTTCGACAGCTAAAAAAAATGAAACAACGCACGTTCTCCACCTCCTCCCGGACCTGTCGATCTGTATCCTCCCTCCCCCAAAACACGAACCATCCGCACCCAGCGCCTCGGACGCCCCGTCTCCGACGACCACCCGGCGCCTCCCTCTCCACCGGATGGCCCCTTCTTCGTTGATTGCACCTCCCTCTACCCCATCTGTTATATGGCGCCCCACCCATGAACTTTTCGCCATGGCCGCCTCCTTGGCCATGCCCGCATGGCAGCCATGATTGGGATCGTCACCTCCCTTGGACGGGGTGGTATGACCACGGCCAGTGCGTTGGAGGCGAGGGGGTTTGTGGTGGTATCAGCCACGACGGTGGAGGCGGCGACGTAGTTCTAGGAGGAGAGTTACGCGAGTTGCGGCGGTGGAGGCGGCGGCGGACATTGAGCCTTGTCACCATGACCCCTCTATCGTCGGTTCTTCTCTCTCCCTAATCCCTTCTCAATCGAGTTTCAACCCACCCGATCCTCAGTTCCACCTCGCTCCCCACCCCACCTCAGTCGTGGCGGCGATGATGCCAACGATCCACTTCCAGTTGGGTTTCCAAGGACACCGGTCACAGAACTATCCATCCGCGACCAGTCCACTAAAGACCCTGACATGGAGGATGTCCGGAGGAAGGAGGAAAGAAGAACATGAGGGAGAGGAGATGCGGCCCAAGCTCTCGCTAGACCTGCTCCTCTCTAACGGCAGCCTGTTCTTAGTCCTCTGCTACCTCCCCAAGACGTCATTCCCGGTGCCCTACCCATCCACGAGGTACCCACCTATAACTCCAACTATAGGTAGATGTGATATGTGGTGCCCCTTGTTGCACTACCTCTCCCTGCTACTGATAAACTATTTCCAGCCTTCAAATATAGTGCTTTTATGATATTTGCTTGTTTGTTTAAATGTGCGCCTTGTCTACTTGAAGACATGGTAAATAGTTCTGGATTGCCTGGCTAATAGAAGTGAATTGGAATTTATAATTAGATCATTGGTGCAAACAAACTGTTACTGTATGGTATTGTATTACAAATTTTGAGTTGTAATTGAGTTTCACTGTTCAAGTTTATGCCAAAGCAGATTCCGCTTGTGCTGATGCTTAATTGGTAATTGACAGTCTTGGGATGGCGCCGTGAGTTTCCAACTTGTTTCAGTGTAATCTTTACACTTTTTTTGAACCGACACATTTTTTCTTAAAGCGGAGTATTCTCTTGCTTAGAGGTTGTTATGACATTGATATGGTGTTACTTTTTATGAAGATGGGAGTGAGATAGACATTGATACTGCAGCATCAGCAGTTTGAGTTACAATCAAAGCACGGCTGGTGATATAGAGAGCGCAAGAACCTGGACTTTAGTTCCTGGAAGTGGTGAGGAAATTTATTGCCTTATAACTATTTCGATCTTTTTTCCCAATCCAGATAATTAGGCATTGGCGAGTAAATTGTGTCTTCCACTTGCTTGTTCGACTGTATCTTATTCTAGATGTATTGAATATTTGAATTTCTACAGTCAAATTAAGATCCAAATTACAGATTTTGCAGATTATGAGGGGGTATCCCAATAGATAAGATGCCCAATGGTAGCAGTTGGCGTAAGCTGGTGCCATGAACATCACGACGGGGAGGTGGTGTTGTTTTACCATTGCAGGGCCATGTCTATGACCGCTGCATGGAGGTGACTTCTAGCTTAGGGCTAGCGGCACGCAAGTGAGAAATGATGCTTGAGGTCACGGGCCGAGTAAGCAAGTAAGTGGTACGCATCCAATCTTCGCGGTCATGTTTTAAGCGATCAGACCAGTTCACCGCCATTTGTATTTACGTTACAAAATCATATATTGATGGTTTCACCCTATTTTCATTGTCTAGCGGAAGTGGAGGGAACACCATCATGTAACCAATTTTGTAAACTATGTTTGATCTTGAACGAGGACAAGTTAACCAACAAAGACATCAAGGGACTTATATTTCGGGAGATATTTTAATACCACCCTCAGCCTCACAAGGATTACATGAACGGCTCAGAAAAAATAATAAGCTTTCTATATGCTAGGTTTCTGTGATCTAATTGTATCCTTTTCTCCATATAATTTCGTCTATCTAGCAACATTCACAAATGATGTTCTTGACTTTTCATTATTCTGTTTGCAGTGTTTTTAACCATTTCTAGAGGCAATTTCCTAACTTACATGAAGATACTGAAAAGTGCGGGGAAGTCAACATGAAGCATGTTTGCCTCACAAGGTAACTTACATCATACTTGGAGAATAATTACATCCTACTTGGAGGTAGCAGGGACGTGTCATATGTTTTTGGGATCCAGGTAATATTTAGCTTACCTGCTAGACCACATTACTTCCAAAATATTTACCTACCATGACAGGAAAATCTTTTGGATCTAGCACTGCATTGTAGACTCAACATATCTAGCTCAGACCCGTCATCCTCTCATCCCGTGTTATGTATGCTTTTCTTTTGAAGTTTTCATCAACCTTGCTTTCTTTATTCAGATCAAGATGGTTGTATATACATCCAAATTCAGATCACATAGTGCCTTACAAGGTGGGAATCAGCAGGGCAAGGAAGAATCCTGGGAGGTAATTTTGATTATCCCATAATGGGGACCATGATAGATGTTGGCTAACTGTGTTTTGAAGAATATCAGTTTCATGTTCTCTTGGTGTTTTTGGATTTGCCTCAATGTCATCCAGATTGATTTCATATACCAAAATCTTAATCCAACTCCTTTCTGGACACAAGTTTATATGCACATGCTACATAGTTTTGATGTATATATGTCTCTTCCTCTGAGTAGTATGCTCCAATTTTTTTCTTGATGTATATTGCCATTTGAATAACACTCAGTTTCTCTAAATAAATTTGTACTCTACATACCTCTCTCTCTGCGGTTGAAAATCTATCATACAGGGCAATAAGATGAAATCAGTTTTTAATTTGAGATGTCCTTTAAAAAACCCATGGAGAAACCAGGCGAATTGACAGTCAGACCGCATCAATATGGCGAATCGACCGGAGTTGCCTTCTTGGGACGATGCATTTGCATTGAAGCAGTGTCGCTGGTCTGATCGCGGCGGTCAGCACCGCCCTCTCATCCGGTCACATTGCGCGACATCAATACAGGTCTGCAGGTCTGGTCCGGCATGAATGTGGTGCGGGAAGCTGCGCGTCTGTTGGAGAGATAGAGCATGTATGTTTATTTGTATTTTTCTTACTTAATAGGTGGATTTGCTCCAGTGATTCTGCGGCCGTCGAGGAGGTGAGGTTTTTCCATCAAATGATTTTACAGTCTGTTTGGTGTGACCACTGCTACTAGGTGCAGAGTAAGGACTAGGACAAGCATCAGTCATGTAAATTGTTAATCAATCTGGTTTTGCAAGTCGTTGAATCGTAGTAGCTATGTAGGATTCCTAATGGATACTACCATGAATCATGTTCTGTCATTAAGGAGAACCTTTTCTAAATGTATTCCAGACTGCTGAGCCTCTTCTATTTTTTTTCCTTTTGGCATGGACAAGGATTCACCTTGAATACCATTATGTAGAGTATATCTCTGTAGTAGTTCTTTTTTTTACAACAGAGTACATGTCTATAGTTAGCGTGGAGCGATAACTCATTTGTCATTCGCACATGCTGTTTCATATGCTTTTATCAATAGTAAAGCTTCTGGGATTACAATTATAGTGGTTTACTTGGAGTAAGTACAGTTTACGTCCTGATATTGTCACTAACACTGTATAATCTAGCTTTACATGCTTTTCTCATTCTGGAGGGTAATGTCATGGACGTCTGATGCGATTTCAGACTTTTCAGTGTGCAAATGCTTAGAGCATTTGACTTATATATATATACATGACATATGTCAAAATGACCATGAAGGATATATGTGCTACTCAAAAAATGCCGACCAATATGAGCTTGTCATAGCAGCTATTTAGTTGGAAGAAAACATAGATTGAAGATGGATATATCAGATGCACCTGCTTGATAGGATTCTTATTTAGTTATGTGGAGGCAGTGATGCTTCCTTTGATGCGGAGTCGAGGGACTATTTGCTTAGTTGCTTCTTGCTTGTCTATCAGACTACTTTGGTAAATTTTAGAGATAAATTTGTTTTTGAACAAGACTATCAAGGAAGCATCATGGCAAAGATGTATGTTGCATTAATACAGTTGAGATAATTTGATTTGATTATAATATGTCAAGCTTCTGAAACTTCACTATGTACGTTGGTTTGGTGGTTTGATATTTGTCACATTATAGTAATAAGCAACATACAACACATAAATTCTTGATTTTTTTTTTCCGACTCAAGATCTCTACGCCTAAATTTATTGTTTTGTGGTATTGTGCGGACATTTTTCTCTTGGTGACCAATATCCCTCAAGCTATACGAGATTTGATTAAGAAGATAGGGATACTTTTTTTAACTCGTGATGATGAGTATGTATATCTGGAATTCAAGTTTGACTCACATGTATTTGGCTTAGTAGTCTTTCCGTTCAAAATAAATGTCGGGTTTTAGTTCAAATTTAAACCGACACTTATTTTGGAACGGAGGAGTGTATTGTATAGGGAAGAAGGTATCATACTATTTCGTAGGGTGAGCGCTTTAAGCAGGAGGGGTTGTCAGGGCTTCAAGTGCGCTT